GGGTGGAGAGGGAGGTGGGAGGGGGGACCGGGATGGGGAATACATGTAAATCCATGGCTAATTCATTTCAATGTATGACAAAAACCACTGCAATGTTGTAAAGTAATTAGCCTCCAACTAATAAAAATAAATGGAAAAAAAAAACTATATACAGCTATGTTCAACATCACAACTTAGAGTTTTTTAAACTCTTAACGGTTATACATTAAATTATAATTTTTTCACTTATGCTCCCAAGTTTCAATAATAAACATATCAGTTCAGGGTTGAGTCATTTGTCTTGATGAACTAAATGGATCCTACCGATATACTTTAGTTCTCATTTGGCCTTCCCATTCTATGTAGATTTCTTTTCTGTCAACTAAAGTCATCTTTTAAAGTTTAGACTTTTACTTTTAAGCCTTTAAGATATACATTAATTTCTGGTAAACAAAACTTGAGTTTGAGAAATTTTTAGCACCTTTTTCCTCCTCAATTTATGTGTGACTCTAGGTGTATAACTAACTTGCTAAGCTTTAGCTTCCTCATCTATAAGACCGGGAAACTAGGACTTAGCTTGTGAGATTCTTTGCTTATTTGTCTTTTGACAGAGATGTGTCTGTCTGAAAATGGACAACTGTCCACTAATACAAGTAATCAGAAAAGTTGGGGAAGAATAGTACAGCATCTCTAAGACAATGAAATCTATAAAATCCTTCCCTTTAAAGTTAAGAAGTTAACCAGCATGCAGGAGAGTATAGCTTACCTCCTCACCTATCCAGGTTCATGTATGGCTAGCAGTCCTCAGTAAGCAGATTTTCCTGCTCAGCTTCCGCACAGGTAATAACAAGATGATTACGGGACAATTAGAAATTGTTCAACATTAAGAAAAGGCCGACTGCACTTGGATTAACTAATATTTCCTTTCTGTTTGACACATATCTTCCAATCTTTCCTATCTAATTTCTCTAAAATCCCTCTGAATCTCAACCAAGTATACACTTCATTCTGTTGTCCCTCTGATATAACTGTGAAGGATAAATATTATTTTTTGTTTCTGTAGGTTTTTTTTAGTGTAATCCATAGTAGTTATTGTATTGGAGCAGCAGCCCCTAACTTTGAAACGTTCACTATAGCCAGAGGAGCCGCCTTTAATATTTTCCACATTATTGATAAGGTAAGACTCCCAATTGCTTTGAAAGATAACTATCATTATTGCAAGAAGGAAACCAAAGAACAGGCACACTCATTTCACTAAAATGAAAAGATGGACAAAATCCATGTTGACCAATTGGCTATGGAAAGAGGAATTGTTTCAACTCTTCTATAAGGAGACTGTGTTTTATCAAAACCTTCATATGCAACTCAATGCACTTCTAAAGTAGAAAGGAAAATATTGTAAAAGAAAACACATCTTTAAACTACTTTTAGAATATAGTGTCAGCTTAGTTTCTCTAAGATTTATAATGCCCTCTTTGTTTTTCCAAGAAACCTACTATAGATAACTTTTCAACAACAGGCTATAAATTGGAATGCATAGAAGGAACTGTGGAATTTAAAAATGTTTCTTTCAGTTATCCATCAAGACCATCTATCAAGGTAAGTAAAATTTAATTACAGAAATGTACCATTTTCTAATATTACTTTCCACTGGCTCGATCACTTCTTACAAAATTGTTTAGGATTAGTCTGACCAAGATTTGGCTGCTTTGTTTAGAGATTTGAGGGGAGAGATGGAGATAGAGACACATAGAGAAAGAGGAGAAGGAAAGAAGGAACGATAGATCACAAATGCACAGATAACTTTGGAAAAACTACTTGCATTTTGCAGCCTCTTCTCCATATTCAACTGACTAACGTATTTTCACCTCCTTGGAATTCCTTCCCTCTGAATTTGAGAGCACAGAAAAAATTTTTTGAATTGATGGTGCCACCTATTGGTGGTCCCTGGATATTTTCCCACTCAGCATAGACAATTGTGTATAAGTCGTGTCTTTCCCTTTTCCCTTCTCTAAGGCCTTTACTATACCAGCTTTTGTGCCTCAGTTTCTGTCTCTTACTTTTACACAAGCACACACTCACACACACACCCGACTCAGCATAAAGTGCTTCCTTCTCCTTTTATCATTCAGTCTTGGACAAGTTCTAGTAAAAATATGTCTGTTCTGTTGTTTTCATCCTTTCATCGTAGTAGTTATTTATCTAAAAAAGTAGTTACTGTTAAAGATTGCAAGGAATAACTCCTAATAAAATACCTGTTTTATAGAAAAAGGATGATTTTAAGTGAAATAGGTAAAATTATTAATGCCATCAACCTTTACTGTCTTTTAAAGTGTCCAAATATCCCCTGCATAATTTGCATTGAAAAAAGATATTTATCTACTCCTACTACCTTATTTTTTCTAGGTCTTTGATTGAAATTATTTTTTTTTAAGATCACTATTCTTAAAAAAATTTGTTACTCAATAACCATTATTGGAATAGTGTTTTCTTCCATCATTTTTCTTAATGTAAATAGAGCATTTTAATTCCATTTTGCAACTACATTTGGGTTGGCTTCCTGGAGACTTAAGCAGCAGTTTTGCTGGTACATTGCTTGGTAAAGAGCTCTCTGGGTTTTAAACAACTATTTTTTAAATGAACCTTTGAAACATAGCCTTTTTTGTTAAATTTAAAAATGAATAATTACCCACCCCACCCCACTCCCCCGCGAAAAAAAAATCTACCCACTTTAAATAAACAAAACACAGATTCTTTGAAAGAGAGAACAGAAGTGAATTCTAGAGTAAAATTGCAGATGGGAGAGGAGGTACTCCCACCTGGGTTCCTTTATTTCTCATCTCTTTTAGAGAATTTTTCTCTGCTTGGCCCTTTGAAAGTTTTACCTTTGGTCTGTTTAAAGGGTCTCTTTCTTTACAAATGTGGATATCAAAGTGAAAGAATTCAAGAGAATATTCCTATGTTTGGGGAAAATGTAAGCAAAGATAGGTGACAGTTTCTCAACAGGATTACTGTTGTCATTTTGAGAGGGTGGCTTTTTGGAGTTTCTCTCATAATGCAGGTTCCAGGACATTGACTGCTGGTAGCAACTCCCAGTTATTGAGAAAATTATAGAAGTACTTACTCCCCCTAAATTAAAATGTTCCTGTGAGATATACCACTAGAAAAGGAGGCTTTCTAGTGATGAAATCCTATTCCAGCGAATACCTAAGAAGTCTGCCAGTTGTTTACTTTAGAATATATTTTGCAACAGTGTTAAATATATTCTAAGAAAGAACTTCCTTAAAGGGCTCACGGAGATATCTGGCAAGGTTTCATTCCTGTTGTTGCAAGTTAGAAGATATAACTTTCTCTAACTTGGTAGTCATGAAATTCACATGAAGGATTTTGACTGAAAATTTGAAAAGTTTGCTGTGGCTCATTAACAGTCTATGAGTACTCAAGTTAGATCTTCTTTTTATATAGAGAGATGATTAGTTTTTTACTGTTACTTTCCAAAATTGTGTAGGTAATCATACACATATATGAAACAAATATAGCAAGATCTAAATTTGTTTTTAAGTGCCAAAATTTTTGTTTGTAATTATACATTAAATTTCTGAAGATAGGAAAATCATATTCTTACTTATCCCACTCTTATGAATTTCCCTCCCATACATTTCAATAGATTCTGAAAGGTCTGAATCTCAAAATTAAGTCTGGAGAGACAGTAGCCTTGGTCGGCCCCAACGGCAGTGGGAAGAGTACGGCAGTCCAGCTTCTGCAGAGGTTATATGATCCTGATGACGGCTTTGTAAGTGCACCTAGCAAGATCATGTACAGTCCACACAACGAGATGTGGAAATGCCCACCTGTTACAGAGAACGTACAGCTATGTGAACTGTTAAGTTTTAACAGTGGGGCTGGGAGAGAATCCATATTGTTTTCTCTCTTGCATATTAATTCATTGAGCAAGTATTTATTGAGCACCTACCAAGAGCCAGACATTGTTCTATGTGCTGGGAATACACTGCTGAACAAAGCAAAAAAACCTCTCTGCCCTCATCAAGTTTACATTCTAATAAGCAGAGACAGACCATAAATCAAATCAGTAAATTATATAATGTTAGAAGATAATAAATGCTGTAGAGAAAAATAACTAGTAATTTGTAATACCCAGAACTTAACAAGAATTTCAGTCTCTCAAAACATCCCAGTAGAATAACATCTGCAGAAAATATGCACTTTCATTTTTTTCATCATCCATATGTTGCACTTAATTTTTTAACCTGTGAATAGCATAGAAAACAAGACTATGATAGTCACAGATGCATAATTTGTAATGCTTCTATTCAGTTTTTCAACTGTTACTTGTATTAAAAGAAAATCTACTCTTCTGAAACATAAATTTGACATTTTCTTAAGTCTTTATGTGGAGTATACTAGACCTATGTATTCATGCTAATATTGAATAAATTATTGGCTAAGCATCCCTATATAAAGCAGTTGCATGGAATACCCATTACCTGACAGAATACCAGTTGGTGTGAAATACCAGAGTTATGATTTTCATACCTTGGCTTCTGTCATTGAAATAGGTAGGGATAATGAATAATGGTATTTTCTATGGGGAATACAATGTTCATTTAAGTTTGTTTATAGCAGGGAGTAAAATGCACTTTTATCTTTTGCAGAGGATTGTGGTGTTGAAGGGAAGGAAGGACATTTCCTAGAAAACAATGCAGAGGTCACATAAATCTTAAAATAACAAAACTGAAGTTTTTTACATGTGTCTGCATAATAACATTTGTGACCCCTAGAGTATATATCATCATCATACCTAATTTGCAGATCCTGTTAGCCTTAGTGTTAGGGCTTCCCGGGTGCCTCAGACAGTAAAGAATCTGCCTGTAATGCAAGAGACCCTGGTTCAATCCGGGTCAGGAAGATCTCCTGGAGAAGGGAATGACTACTCACTCGGGTATTCTTGCCTAGAAAATTCCATGGATAGAGGAGCCTGGCAGGTTATAGTCTGTGGGGTAGAGTAAAGATATTCATACAGTTTGGCCAAATTTTAAGTCCATTTTTTTAGGTTTTATTAGTTCCCAACTACCAGAAAAAGTCTATTGGCAATGTACTTGCTATACATACTTTATCAAAATATAGTCAGTCTTTGTTTCCTGAAACAACCTGCTTCTCAGCTTATGTTTTGGAGTAGTAAAAAAGGTTTTAACCCAATGCAGTGAAAAATACCACAATGATTCATTCCTTTGGATTTGTAGATCACTGTGGATGGTAACGACATCAGAACTTTAAATGTGCAGCATTATCGAAAACATATTGGAGTGGTCAGCCAAGAGCCTGTTTTGTTTGGAACCACCATTAATAACAATATTAGATATGGACAAGATGGTGTGACTAATGAAGACATTGAGAAAGCAGCAAAGGAAGCAAATGCTTATGATTTTATAATGGAATTTCCCAAGGTAAGTACACTATGTAACCTATATTCTTAGCTTAAACCTAAAGCACTGAGATATTCCAAAATAAGTTAAATAATGATAACATCTACAGAGTAAGGGAAGTGTGATTAATATTTGCATTGTCCTAGATGAAATATCTATAAATGAGAGAGCATGATAAAACCCAAAGAATACATTGTTGAAAGGTCAATTTTTAAAATCTGTTTTGTTCTTACTAGTTGTTACTGCTAATGGAAAAGAAAAATAAAGGGTATATTAAAACATAACAAAGAAACATGAAACAAAATCATCGGTCCATCCTGAGAAATGTGTATCTGCAAAATGTTGGTTTGCAAGGCCATCTTGTGGCTAAGAGTGGGAATGTCACACGCAAAGTTCAGATTGGTTCTGTGTTAAGGCAAAGGAAAAAATTTTGTTTTTGAAGTATATGGAACTACTATTGGATAAGAAATGTGAAATTATAGTTGGAAAGAGATACAATAAACTATAATTTGGGGTATTAGGACATATAAGATCCTAATGGATATTTAAAATTGATAAAGAGCTATAAAAACATTTATATTTCTTAAAGTATTTGTTCATTAGTAGCATTTCATTTTCAGTTTTTCATTTCATTTTCAATTTCATCCCAGTATCACCTGAAATTATTATGGGGAGCACCTTGTGAAGCAAGAGAGGATGATATGTGAATTTAAAATGCAAATAAAATTCTAATATCCCAGAAGGCAATAATAACAAAAAAGTTATTTTAATGACTATATTTTACAAACCACATTCCATAGGTCATAATAATTTTGTTCTTTTTTTTTCCATAAAATTTTTGTTATGCTATTTATGCCTCCTTCCCCCATTATTTAGGGTCATACTTAGGACAGAAAAGTTATTCTTTGAGGTCATTCTTTGCCCTATGGTTTGGGAAAACACAAACTTCCTTTTTTTGACCTTCATTCAACACTTTCACTGACTTTTTTCCCTCAAAAAAAAAAAAATGATCCTCAGTTTTCCACTTGGAATTAAGGAGTTTTCTGGTGCCTCTTAAGTCATTTTTTGAACTGTGGTGTTGAAGACTCTTGAAGAGTCCCTTGGACTGTAAGGAGATCCATCCAGTCAATCCTAAAGGAACTCAGTCCTGAATATTCATTGGAAGGACTGATGCTGAAGCTGAAACTTCAATACTTTGGCCACTTGATGTGAAGAACTGACACATTGGAAAAGACCCTGATGCTAGGAAAGATTGAAGGTGGGAGGAGAAGGGAATGACAGAGGATGAGATGGTTGATTGGCATCACCTAATCGATGGACATGAGTTTGAGTAAGCTCTGGGAGTTGTTGATGGACAGGGAAGCCTGGTGTGCTGCAGTTCATGGAGTCACAAAGAGTTGGACATGACTGAGTGACTGAACTGAACTGAACTGAAGTCATTCCCTGTAAGTTATGACTTATTTTTACTAAAAGTCCAATATTTACACAAAGGTGTTCCTTACTATAAATCTAATAGTAAATGCTAAAGATATAATCCAAAGAACAAATTAAATTGCTGGTTTATTATGATAGAAGCTAAATTCCACAGCCATGATGGTTAAACTGGGACATAAGAATAAACATAATAATAAATAAAAGTTACAGAAGTGATTTCATATAGGTGAAAATTTAGGGAAAGCTATACTCAAAAATAAATCCATTTCTGGGCTTTTTATCTTGTTCCAGTGGTCTATATTCCTGTTTTTGTGCCAGTACCATACTGTTTTGATGACTGTAGCTTTGTAGTATAATCTGAAGTCAGGAAAGTGGATTCCTCCAGCTCTATTTTTCTTTCTCAAGACAGCTTTGGCTATTCGGGATCTTTTGCATTTCCATATGAACTGTGAAATTTTTTGTTCGAGTTCTGTGAAAAATGCCATTGGTAATTTGATAGGGATCACATTGAATCTGTAGATTGAATTTGGTAGTGTAGTCATTTTCACAATATTGATTCTTCCTAGCCAGGAATATGGAATATCTCTCCATCTGTTTATGTCCTCTTTGATTTCTTTCATCAGTGTCTTATAATTTTCTGTGTACAGTTTTTTTGTCTCCGTAGGTAAGTTTATTCCTGGATTCTTTTTGTTGCAATGGTAAATGGGATTGATTCCTTAATTGCTCTTTCTGATTTTTCATTGTTAGTATATAGAAATGCAAGTGATTTCTGTGTATTGATTTTGTATCCTGCAACTTTGCTAAATTCACTGCTTAGCTCTATTAATTTTCTGATACTATCTTTAGGGAATCATGTCATCTGCAAACAGTGAGGGCTTTACTTCTTCTTTCCCAATCTGGATTCCATTTATTTCTTTTTCTTCTCTGATTGCTGAAGCTAGGACTTCCAGAACTATTATGAATAATAGTGGCAAAAGTGGACACCCTTGTCTTGTTCCTGATCTTAGGGGGAATGCTTTCAGTTTTTCACCATTGAGACTGGACAGCTACATGTAAAAGAATGAAATTAGAACACTTCCTAACACCATACACAAAGATAAAATGGATTAAAGACCTAAATGTAAGACCAGAAACTATCAAACTCTTAGAAAAAAACAGGCAGAACACTCGATGACATAAATCAAAGCAAGATCCTCTATGACCCACCTCCTAGAGTAATGGAAATAAAAACAAAAGTAAACAAATAGGACCTGATTAAACTTAAAAGGTTTTGCACAGCAAAGGAAACTATAAGCAAGGTGAAAAGACAGCCCTCAGAATAGGAAAAAATAATAGCAAATGAAACAACTGACAAAGGATTAATTTCCAAAATATATAAGCAGCTCATACAACTCAATGCCAGAAAAACAAACAACCCAATCAAAAAGTGGAAAAAGACCTAAACAGACATTTCTTCAAAGAAGACATACAGATGGCTAACAAACACATGAAAAGATGCTCAACATCGCTAATTATTAGAAATGCAAATCAAAACCACAGTGAGACAGACATCACCTCACACCAGTCAGTATAGCCATCATAAAAAAGTCTACAGACAATAAATGCTGGAGAGGGTGTAGAGAAAAGGGGATGCTCTTGCACTGTTGATGGGAATGTAAACTGATACAGCCACTATGGAAGACAGTATGGAGATTCCTCGAAACACTAGGAATAAAACCACCATATGACCCAGCAATCCCACTCCTAGGCTACCCTGAGGAAACCAAAATTGAAAAAGACACATGTATCCCATTGTTCACTCTAGCACTGTTTGCAATAGCTAGAACATGGAAGCCACCTAGATGTCCATTGACAGATGAATGGATAAAGAAGTTGTGATCCATATATACAATGGGATATTACTCAGCCATAAAAAACAATGCATTTGAGTCAGTTCTGATGAGGTGGATGAACCTAGAACCTATTATACAGAGTGAAGTGAGTCAGAAAGAGAAAGATAAGTACCATATTCTAACACATATATACAGAATCTAGAAGAACGGTACTGAAAAATTTATTTACAGGGCAGCAGTGGAGAAACAGACAGAGATAATAGGCTTGTGGACATGGGGAGAGGGGAGGAGAGGGTGAGATATAAGGAAAGAGTAACATGGAAACTTATATTACCATATGTAAAATAGATAGCCAATGGGAATTTGCTGTATGGCTCAGGAAACTCAAACAGGGGCTCTGTATCAACCTTGAGAGGGTGGGATGGGGCGGGAGATGGAAGGGAGGTTCAAAAGGGAGGGGATATATGTATATCTATGGCTGATTCATGTTGAGGTTTGACAGAAAGCAACAAAATTCTGTAAAGCAATTATCCTTTAATTAAAAAATAAAAATAAAAATAAATAAATATCATTAATCCTTCTATGATGTGCTTAGTCACTCAGTCATGTCCAACTCTTTGTGACCCAAGGACTATAACCCACCAGGCTCCTCTGTCCATGGGGATTCTCCAGGCAAGAATATTGGAATGGGTTGCTATGCCATCTTCCAGGGGGTCTTCCCAACCCAGGGATTTAACCCAGGTCTCCCGCATTACAGGCAGATTCTTTACCATCTGAGCCACCAGAGAAACCCAACTATGATACACACATATTTTTTAATTAGTATGTTAGGATTAACTGATACTTGCTAGCTTTTCCCCATGAACAGCCATAAAATGGACTAGAATATCTGAGGCATAGGACAGTTGCTTCCAAGCATTAGATAAGCAGTAGCACAGAGCTATGATTCCTGAGAGGAAGGAAACTCGAAGTCCGTGAATGTCCAGCATGCTTCCTGGGAACCAATTATGACCCCATCACATCTCTGTAAAATGGAATTCAAAGGGAACATGTCAGTCCCACTGAGATAAAAGATAGAGACAGAATTTCAGGGCAGCTGAAGAAATTGAAGAGCCAAAATAAAAGAGTTGTGGACATGAGATGGGGGACAGATGTCCATGTAAGCATCCTTTGGGAATCCTTCTCAGATGTAAGATTACCCCTTGCTTACAGAAGAGCAGCTGCTACAAAGCTATAGTAGAGCAGAGATGCTCAAAGTTAGGCAGTGTGGTGGAGCTGTTGACAACACAACCCAGCCAGAGTGGAGAGGTCACATTAACACCTCTTTATACCTCAGGCATATAGCTGAGACACCAAAAAAAGTCACACCTTAGAAGTAAAGACCACACCTTAGAGTAAGGCTGACTCTAAATAATCTGCTCTAACAAAATCCTAAAACCAAGTGATGACAAGACCCTAAAGGAGACAGAACTTGGATATTGGGTCCTGTCCAGTTTTGAGGCTTTCTTTAGATGAGCAAGCTCTGGGTGATGATGAAGGACAGGGAAGCCTGGCTTCCCTGCAGTCCATGGGGTCGCAAAGAGTGAGTGACTGAACAACAACAGATTCACCACAACCAAGCATAAAACCAGGATGATCAGTCAATATTTGAATTGCCTAGGAGAGTGAAAGGGCTTCCCAGGTAGTGCTAGTGGTAAAGAACCCACCTACCAGTGCAGGAGATGTAAGAGACACAAGCTCGATCTCTGGGTTGAGATCTCCTAGAAGAGGGCACAGCAACCCACTCCAGTATTCTTACCTGAAGAATCCCAAGGACAGAGGATCCTGGTGGGCTACAGTCCATATGGTCGGAAAGAGTTGCACATGACTGAGGTGACTTAGCAAACATGCATGCATGTGAGAGTCAAATCAACATTTTCCTCAGAATAAAAACAGAACTGAGTCTCTTCAACATATTATGCACAGATTTCAATGTGTATTCTACAATATCTAGATGTGCAAAGAAACAGGAAACAATGATCCATAGGCGAAAAGAAAAAACCCATAATCTCGATATTTGTCCACTTAAGCAAAATTTCAAGGGACTTCTGTGGCAGTCCAGTGGTTAAGACTTCCCCTTCTAGTGCAGGGGGTCTTCAACATATTATGCACAGATTTCAATGTGTATTCTACAATATCTAGATGTGCAAAGAAACAGGAAACAGTGATCCATAGGTGAAAAGAAAAAACCCATAATCTCGATATTTGTCCACTTAAGCAAAATTTCAAGGGACTTCTGTGGCAGTCCAGTGGTTAAGACTTCCCCTTCTAGTGCAGGGGGTGCAAGTTCGATCCCTGGTCAGGAAGTTAAGATCCCACATGCCTCAGGGCCCCAAAACCAAAAACATTAATAAAAGAAGAAGAAGAAGCAATATTACAACAAATTCAATAAAGACTTTAAAAGTGGTCCACATCAAAAAAATCTTTAGGGCTTCCCTGGTGGCTCAGTGGTAAAGGATCCACCTGCCAATGCAGGAGACCCGGGTTTAATCCCCGGTCCGTGAGGATCCCACCTGACTCGAAGCAACTAAACCCATTCACCACAACTACTGCGCCTGTACTATAGAACTACTGCGCCCTCCCACCGGAAATACGGAAGCCCATGGGCCCGAGAGCCCATGATCAGCAGCAGGAGAAGCCACCACTATGAGAAGCCTGCACACTGCAACCAAAGAAAAGCCCACACAGCAAAGAAGACCCAGCACGGCCAAATAAATAAATAACACTATTTTTTTTAATCTATAAAAAATAAGTCTTTTTTTTAAAGTTTCAAAAAAAATTTCAAAATGCATGAAGCAAAAATAATACATCTGAAAGGAGAAACAGGCAAATCCACAATTTTAGCTGAAGGCTCTAATACTTGATAGACCAAGTAGGCAAAAGATCTAAGGATATAGATAACCTCAACAATACTATCATCCAACTAGATATAACTGATATTTATAGGCAGTTTCACTCAATAACAGCATAAAACATTTTTCTTAAGAGCATGTGGAATGTTCACTGAGATAAACAATATTTTCGACATTGAAAGAAAAAATGTTTATAATTTCAAAGGAAACATACAAAGTATGTCCTTGGGCCACAATAGAATTAAAACGTAGACATCAATAACAGAAATATACCTGGAAAATCCACAAATATTTGAAAATTAAAGAACCTACTTCTAAATAATATGTGGTGCAAATAGGAAGTTTCAAGAAAAATAAAAAACTTTTGAAGTAAATAAAAATGAAAATACAAGGTATCTGTATTTGTGGAATACACTTGATCTTTCAACAACATGGGTTTGAACTGTACATATTCACTTATTCAGGAATCTTTTCCAAAAAATACACACCATAGTACTACATAACCCCCAGCTGGTGGAATTCAAGGATGTGGACACAGAGGACTGATTGTAAAGCTATACTTGGATTTTTGACTGGATGGGGGTTGGTGTCCCTAGCACCTACGTTGTTCAAGGATCAACTGCTTGAAGAGAAACTTACAACATCAAGTGCTTACTTTAGAAAAGGAAAAGATCTAAAATCCATTAACCGAGTTTGCATCTTGAGAAACTAGAGTAAGAAGAGCAAATAAAACACAAAACAAGTAGAAGAGAAATAATATAGACTAGAGCAGAAAACAGTAAAATTAAAAACAGAAAACATTAGAAACAGTCACTGTGAAACTAAAAGCTGGTTCCTTAAAAAGATCAATAAAATCAGTAAAATTATAGCAAGCCTGACTAAGAAACAAAAAAGAGAAGAGAAATTACAAATATCAAGGATCAAAGAAGGTACATCATTATTAATCCCAAAGACATTAAAAGGTTGATATAGGAATACTATGAACAAAGATATGCTTATAATGTTGACAATATAGAAGAGGTTCTATTCCCTGAAAGACACAGACCACAAAAACTCACTCAAATAGAAGTGGATAGATAACCTTAATAAGATGTATAACTATGAAAAAAATAAACTGGTTCTCAGAATAGTAGAAACAACTACAAATGAAATTAAAAGTGGCATTCACAATAGCATTAAAAATATAAAATAGAATAAATATAATGAAAGATCTGTAAATCTTCTATGTGAAAACCATAGAACACTGCTTAGAGAAATTAAAGAATATCTAAATATAATAAATAAGATGTATCTTATTCATTGATTTAGAGATTGAATATTTTTACAGATATGCATTCTCCCCAAACCAATCTATAAATTTAATGCTATTTCAATCAAAATCTCAGCTGTCTTTTTCATGTGCAGAAGTCAACAAGCTGGTTAAAAATTTATTTAGGAATCTAAAGGACCAATAATAGTCAAAACAATTTTGGAAAAAGAGCAGCAAAACTGGAAGACCTACAATAGTTAATTTTAAGGCAGCAATTAAGACAGTGATAATTACCTAACAGCGGGTTTCCCAGGTGGCGCGATGGTAATGCAAGACACATAGGAGATTCAGGTTCAATCCCTGTGTTGGAAAGAGCCCTGGAGTAGAAAATGACAACCCACTCCAGTATTCTTGCCTGTAAATTTCCAAGGACAGAGGAGCCTGGCAGGGTACAGTCCATGGGGTCGCAAAGGGTCAGACACAACTGAGCATACACACACGTTGACATAACAATGCAGGTGTAAGTCAGTGGAACACAACATAGAGTCTAGAAATAGACCCACATATATCTAGTGAATTGATTTTTGACAAAGCCAGTGTAATTCAGTGGGAGAGAGGAAACTCTTTTCAACAAATGGTGCTGGAAAAATTGGATATCCATATGTTAAAAAAAAAGAAACGTGGCTCTTACCTCATACTATATACACATATAATTTACCATGAATCTTAGACCAAGTGAAACTTAAGCCATCAAACTTCAAAAATAAGTGCACACTCTGTGATTCTATTTATATGAAATTGTAGAACTAGCAAAATTAATTTATAGTGATAAATATCAAATCAATGGTATCTGAGGCAAGGTGTGGGTTTTGACTGGAAATGGCCATTTGGAACATTTCTAAGATGATAGAAATTTTCTATTTTTATTTGGATGGTAATAACATGGATACATTCATTTTTCAAAACTCATAGAACTATTCTTTTAAAATGGATGCATTTTATTATGAAAAATTATTCATCAATAAGGTGTGTGTGTATATATATATATACTTTTTTTTTTTTAATATGGGGCTTTCCAGATGGTGCTAGTGGTAAAGAACCCCCTTGCCAATGCAGGTTAGACATAAGAGGCACAGGTTTGATCCCTAGGTCAGGAAGATACCCTGGAGGAGGGCATTAAAACCCACTGCAGTATTCTTGCCTGGAGAATCCCATGGACAGAGGAGCCTGGCAGGCTATTGCCCATAGGGTCACAAAAAGTCAAACATAAATGAAGCGACTTAGCATGCACATTTTTAATGTAAAGGTCAAACTCTAGAAGTTAAAAGTTTAGAAATATTATTTGAAAGTAAGTCCTTGAAGAAATGAAGTTTGAATCAGGGACTTAGCACAATAGAATATTACTAATTATGCTTCATTAGTTCTAGAAATTACCTCCAACTTCAAATATCTAAAAATATCTACTTTGTTAAAGACATATATATCAAAAAACAGTAAAAGAAGGCCTAAAAAGTCTCCTAAGATTGAAAAAATGTTTTGAGGAAGAAGTTTGTTTTTGCAATAATCTTTTTCATACTATTTTTCAAAATGTAAAGCAAATTATGGGTAATACATTAAATTACTAATAAACATTTTAAATAAATTATTTGTACTACAGTGTTTCTATTAAAGATACCAGTGCATTTTAAGTGTCTTTAAAACTTTGAAAATTGGTTCAAATTATTGTTAATCTTCCTTAAAATCCTAGATTATGCTATGTCCTCATTTTTTTTTAGTCCTAGCCAAATTTTTCTTTGGTCTTCTCTTCAATAGATTATTTTTAAAATGGTTGTTTATTTTTACAAAGAACAAATCATAGATCAAATACTATCCAGGCTGCAGCAGTGATTAATCTGGCATTAAAACACAACTATTTGGGGGAGAATGATTTCACATATGTATTTCTGAGTCCCTTTGCTGTTTGCCTGAAACTGTTAACAACATTGTTAATTGGCTATACCCCAATACAAAATAAAAAGTTCAATCAGTAAAAAAATGAGAAAAAAATGCACAACTGTGACTGCCATTTCCTGTTCTAATCATCTGACCATGCTGCCTTCTGTTTCTGTTTTCTTTCCTCATTTTCATTAGAAATTTAATACCTTGGTGGGGGAAAAAGGAGCTCAAATGAGTGGAGGACAGAAACAGAGAATCGCAATTGCTCGAGCTTTAGTTCGAAACCCGAAGATTCTGATCTTAGATGAGGCTACGTCTGCCTTAGATACAGAAAGCGAATCAGTAGTTCAAGCTGCACTGGTGAAGGTAAGTAAGCAGACTCATTATTTTAATATTCCTGGTTCAGCACTTTTTTTAAATACAAAAAAGTATGGCTCCATATTGGATTATTTATTCATTTCAGAGCCCTCCTTAAGTTATGAATTCAGAGTGTTCATCCTTGTAAAAACTTTGGTAATGTTTATAGGAAGTGATTTGGAGGAGAAAAGAAGATGCTATGCTTGGTGTTAAAAATATATCTGAGGCTCATAACCAAGCAATCATCCCATATATATAGGTCTGCATCCCATTCCAACAGGTCTACACTTTCCACCTCCCCAGGGTAACTCCATACCCCTACCACAATTATAATCACATCCACCCTTTGTCTCTTCCATATACAGCTATGGGGTTCTCTTCTCTGACCATTTTTTCCTCTCTAGGGTAATCCCAGAGTACTCATTTTAACTTAATTTCACTTCAAGTGGAGAAGTATACCATGTGGTTTGCCTTGACCTTGAACCATCCTCCTTCAACATCCCTAAGGCCCTGATGCTGCCTTCCTACTCACTGTGTGGATGCATGCTAAGTCGCTTCAGTCGTGTCCAACTCTTTGAGACCCTATGGACTATAGCCTGCCAGGCTCCTCTGTCTGTGGGATTCTCCAGGCAAGAATACTGGAGTGAGTTGTCATGCCCTCCTCCAGGGGACCTTCCCAACCCAGGGATTGAACCCACATCTCCTGCGGCTCGTGCATTGCTGGCAGATTCGTTACTGCTGAGTCAACAGGGAAGCCCCCTACTCACTATAAGCTGCTAAATATGCTTCATGGCCACAATGCAGAATTGGCCTTTTACCAAAATGCACTGCATCTGGGAAGGTAGTTAGTGGTGGTGTCATGAAAAACCATAGAATACTTTTTCCAGTAACGAAACCCTCTTTGCAGTCATGGTCTTCAAACCATTTAGAAGGCTTAATGGCACTTTTTACTTTGTGCTTCTCTAAAAATGGGTTGTGTTTTTCTAAGAAAATTACAGACTTTTCTTTTTAAATACTGAGTATGCATGACTAGATATGGACACTGGCAACCTGAGTCCCAACTGATTATTGAAAAATCTATTACTTACTATTATCAACTTGCAAATCAGAGTTTATAAATTTTTACCTTGTTTCCATCTCACATGATAAGAGTACCACAAGTTGCTCATATTTCTTATTTTCATAAAATAAATAATATGAAAATCCATGTTCATTGTAGACACTTTGCCAGTTTGGTTCATTTTGGTGAAGAAATGATTATTTCCTCAAAAGCATGACTCATACTCTATTCATTTCTTAACACTTAATAACTAAGACAGGGCTCTATTTATAGAATACACTCAAATTGTGTATACTAATGATGATGTTTAGTTACTTAAGGCTTGAATGTACTAAAAAATTATTAGATTTAACTGTCTCAAATTACATAATTTTTCTAGTTTTATTGAAATATAATCAACATACATATATAAGATTTTTTTTTAATATTATACTAGGCTCTGAAGTTGTTTACAGGTTAAATGTTGTGCCCATTGCCTTTTCATTCGCTATGTTAATCACTTCAGGCAATCAAAACTTATTCAGACTTTCAAAAATACAGTAAGTCCCCTACATATGAACAGGTTCCATTCTGAGAGTGCATTTTTAAGTTCAGTTTGTTAGTAAAGCCAACGAAGATAGCCTGGGTACCCAACTAATACAATTGGCTATATAGTGCTGTACTGTAATAGGTTTATAATACTTTTCACACAACAAATCCATTAAAAACAAACAAACACAAAAAATAAAACATTTTTAATCTTACAGTACAGTATCTTGAAAAGTATGGTACAGTACCAGCTATATCACCTCTGCTTTTACACTTGCTTCCAGACATCATTGGCTTGAAATAAAGATGCTGTACTCTATATAGTATTGTATAGTAAAGCACAGCAAAGCACAGCCACTTGTAGAGAATGCACACAAGTGATGATATATATCAGACATGTGAACTAACTTACATGATTGGACATGAGAAACATCTTTGAAAGTTCACAACTTGCAGGGGTGACTTACTGCAAATAGTTGCTTAGAGTCATGATAAACTAATCAATATTTTTTTCTACTGCTTGAAATGAAATCTATATCATAATCTATATCATATATATCATATATATATCTATATCTATATCAAAATACAAAATGCTTGCAAATTATTATTCCAAGTATATATTTTAAAAATTCAATTACTGTTACTCTTTTCCAGTTTTTAAAGGGTGTAATTAAATCAGCGTTATAGAGATGTATAGGTGTGAAACTGTACGGAGACTTTGCTGATCTTTTGTGAGGTGAGGGTAAATGGTTACTCTGGGGTGACAGCTCGTTAAATACATATGCCTTGGTATTTAATTGGCGTGTGGTGCAGAGGAGAGTTGGGGCTTCCCCAGTGCCTCAGTGGTAAAGAATCTGCCTCTGATGTGGAAGACGCAGGAGACCTGGGTTCGATCCCTGGGTTGGGAAGATCCCCTGGAGGAGAGCATGACAACCCACTCTAGTATTCTTACCTGGAGAATTCCTTAGACAGAGGAGCCTAACAGGCTGCACAGGAAAAGCTATGAACACTCCAGTGCCATGAGAGTTCTGTACACCCACTACACAGATGGTGATTGTGAAACCAAGCTTTAAAGAGGTCCCACCTAAAGAGGGTAGGGCATCCAACAGGTCTCATTTCTGCTCAGACATCTGTCTATAAATTCCAGAACCCTGTGGCATGATACAGCCTAATCCACAGCAGTTAACAGATTTTTATAGCTCAAAATATCATGTAAACCACTAGCCAGCAAAGATGGAACAATAAAATGTATTCTTTCTCACTGGTGAATGCAGCATCCACCTCCTTCCATACCCAGCCTTCAGATATCCTCCCAACCCCTCCTCTCCATTACCCCATCGTCTTCCTTTTGTATGAAGCTCTAGAACCAGCAAAACTAATCAATTGTGATAAAAAAAAAATCAAATCAGTAGTTTACTGGAGGAAGGGGGTGGGTTTTGACTGAAAAGGGGCATGAGGGGAATATTACTATTGTCCTTTCTTGGATTATTGCAATAGCTATCTCCCACAGGCTTCCTTGGTGGCTCAGATGGTAAAGAATCCAGGTTCAATCCCTGGGTTGGGAAGACACCCTGGAGAAGGAAATGGCAACTCACTCAAGTACTCTTGCCTAGAGAATCTCATGAGCAGAGGAGCCTGGCTGGCTACAGTCCATGGGGTCACAAAGAGTTGGACATGACTGAGCGACTAACACACAACATGGCATCTCACATACTACTCACTTCAGTCTGTTCTCAGCACAGCACGCAGACAATATTACTAAGATGGAAATTTGGTCATGTTGCCCTTTTGCTTCAAGCCCTTCAATGGTTCCTTTCCTTCTCACTCTAAGTAAAAACCAAACTCCTTACAGAAGCTATAAGTTTCTATGGAGTTGGGCACCAGGCTCTTTCTGGAACCTCACATCCTACCACTCTGTCCTGCATTGGGTACCCCTTAAACATACCATAGCCCTTTATGTCAGCTAATATATTATACACATATTTGTTTATTTTCTCTCTTCCCCTACTAAAATATCTACTCTCCTCTACTAAAACATCTGCTCTCTATTATCAAAGGCATTGATTGGTTAACTGCAGCATACTCAGCAATAGAACAATGCCTGGCCCTCATTAGACAGTCAATAAATATTTGTTGAATAGTGTTTGGATGACTGTGATATAGAAGAGTTTCAAGGCCTGAAGTGCTCTTTTCTGGATTTTTTTTAGTTTAGGCTTGCTACCATCTAGTTTTGCTTCACTAATATTGTTCAAGAGGAGGATTTAGGATCAGTGGATAAAGATCTATACAACAGCTATGGAGTTTTACTCTGCTACTGGTTTGGACCTGGTGTGCCAATGCAGCAGGCTTCCAAGCTGTCCTACTATGAGGAGGCATGAACACCTGCGAGCCCCTGGGGAAGCAGAGAAAGCCCATGTTGATTTTAGAATTAAGCCTGTGAAAGCTCTTTGAAATGTTAAAAGTTGTATGCAAATCTAAGGAATAATTATTAAGGGAGGTTCAGCTATACCACATCAGTGGAGAACCTTAAAAAGGCCCTTTGCTGATTATGAAAGATGGGTTTCCATCACAGGTTTATTCTTTGAAGAGTCTGAGCCACTTTGTTGCAACAACCATGGGCTTTTCTTTATCATCATTTCTGTTTCTGATATGATGCATTCTGTTGGTCTTCCTCTGAAGTCCCTTACATTGTATTTATACTACTTGGAGAATTAATAAGTAAGTTGGTATATTATATTAAGCTGTGGGCTACTTTATTAAATTAAGCCCCAAGAAGTGAGGTTAATTATATTACACCCACAGATGCATACCAATACATACACACACACATATGTTTTGGTTTGTTAAATATCTTTCTCTTTATATGTGGAATTGGAAATACTTTAGATCTTTTTCTTTCTGCCCTCCCTGTTTTTAAAACTATTTGTTAATAGTTGGGAACAGAAAGGGAATTTCTACAAGGGAAATTCCTTGGCTGCAATTTAATTAGGAAAACAAAGGTAACATAGATAATACCTCATCCCAAAGCATCATGAGACATTTTACAAGCTTGCTTAATCAAGCTCACATGCATAAGCCTTGGTGTTAAGTTATAGGCCACTAACTCCTTTTAGAATAGTGTTTTTCCCCATTTGATAGATCAAGGGCCGATTGAGAATCTAAGAAAGGGAAAAATAAACCACTGTAAAATTTCCCTAAAATCTGCAAATGCACTTGTACACCAAGATTTATGTATAATATTGAGGGGTTCATAGACCCCCTGAAGCCATTCATAAGTCATTATTTTAGGTGGAATAATGAAACAGATAAATAAGAAAAACTAATCCTTACAAGAACCCAGTGAAAGTTGTACATTTATTCTCCTGTTTCACAGATGTGTAAACTGAACCACGGGGAGGTTGAGTAATAACTAGGAAGC